ATCATCCTATCCCACCGAAACCACACTATCATCATCACCCTCATTACTATCATTACCCGTATCTTTCTTATCCTTACATTGGCTCCGTACCTTTTCCATTCTATGGAGCTTATCCTTCTCCCCCCCCCCCATACATTCCGTTCGAGCATAGATAAGGAGGATTTTGTTGCCATGCCGCTTCGGGGTTCGAAACAGCTCCTCGCTGACGGAGAACCGACATGAAGCTCAAGTCAGTCGCGACTCTTTTCTTCCATAGGAAAAATAATACAAAAAAAAAACAATTCAAACATTTCTTGTTGTCATTTTTATTATTTAAATTGGTACTTGTTGACTGTTGTGTTTTTGTCGTGAATCGACAGAATCCCGATCCTGTTGCTCCTGCTGGTCCTCGCGGAAGCAGCGCCGAAGAAGGCCCCCAAGAAAGGTAAGTCCCTTAACCCCTATTAAGCTCTTCGTTCCCCGAGCGATCCGCACCGACCGACGACCGCTGCACCCGCTGCACCCGCTGCACCCGCTGCACCAGGTCCGGCGAACGTGAAGGTCCCCGTGAAGCGTCTGAACGGGAGGCCCTCGGGGACGCACATCTCCCCGTTCCCGCCCGCCTCCGACGCGTTCCCCAGGAAGAACGCGAAGGCCGTGCCGCGTCCAGAGAACCCGAAGGTGGAGAAACCCACCGTCGCTCCCCCGAAGAACCACGAGAAGAACCGTCAAGGCCCTTGCACCACGCCAGAATGCGAACAAGCAGGTCCGTCACCCCCGACCGACTAAACTCATTAAATTAATTAGACTTAGTGACACAACCTATAGCCCAGGAACTGCTGGACGGGATGGACCTGACCGTCGACCCCTGCGACGACTTCTACGCGTACACCTGCAGGAACTGGATCCTGAACAACCCCATCCCGCCGACGTCGAACGTGATTAGCATGTTCGACCAGCTCATAGACGAGATGAACCGGAGAATCCGAGGTCTGCCGAAACCGTTTCGACCTTTTCATCTTGTCCTTTATATCTTGTCCTTTTTATATGGTCCTTCGACAGACATCCTGGAAGCGGGACCCTCGCCGGACGATAACGTGCCCGTGCTGGACGCGAAGACCATGTACTCCGCTTGCGTCGACACCGGTGAGTCCCACGGACGAGAATTCCAACACGGAACGCTCGACATCATGATGAAGCATTGCAGATCAGAAAGTTACTTTCAAAAAGAGAGGCAAAAGGAACAAATAAGGAAGTCGGTGGAACCAGAATACGATACGGAGTTACCAGATCCAACACAACTGTCAGATTCAGCAAATTCGCCTCAAAAAAAATTTTCATCTCAAAATCCGGAATTCCCCAATAATAATAAATAACATTTAAAATAATGGCCTCACCCGACGCAAACCGCTCTCCCCAGCCACCCTGGAGTCCCTGGGCCTGACCCAGGGACCGTGATGGGGATGTTCGGCGGCTGGCCGATGACCCTGGACCAATGGGGCGAGGAGGACTTCGACTGGCAGCAGATGGCGGCGGCCGGGATCAGGCAGGCTGCGCTCAACACGCTCATATCGGGC